GGGGGGGGGGGGGGGGCAGCAGGGGTGGGGGTGCAAAATAAAGGGGAGCCTAAAGTGCTCACTGGTGTGAACCACAATACAGCACTTTAATTATTCAGGAAAAGGGGACACAAAGAGGGGGGATAACGACAGATCACAAATTAACATCCCGTACAGAGTAATAATTAATGATAATCGCTCACACCACAAAACGGGTGCAAATTCTCATACAAAATAATGAAACCTTTCAGAAAGGTAAAGTCGGCCAGATCAATCTCTGAACTACAAAAATGCCGACGAGAGCAGCAACACGGCTACTCAACGTAGGCTAGCAAGATGAACTGTATCGAAAAATGGGAAGGCGGGGGCAGTTTTAACAGCAAAGAGAAGGGGGGGAAAAATAGCCAACTGTTAATCTGCAATTTTACGATTATATAGGAGATTTTATGCAAAATACTATAGTTTTGTCACAAAAGAATAAACAAATGAAGAGACATTACAGCACTTTCTATCCATAAGAGGGACCCCAAGGTAGACCTTATGACCTAACTTGTGCATGAAGAGAGTAGCAAATATAGCAAGGATACACTGACTATAGCAACCAAGTCTCCTAAAATTGGTCTAAAAGACTGTACAAATTTACAGTATTGTGTACGACTATGAAATTAGGGTTTGTCACTTTTCCTTTCCTTTTTCAGAACATCATTACCTGCGCAGCTTTCTGCGGCCAAATAAATCATGATCATTGAGTAAGCATCTGAACACGTAAAGTATACTGAAGACGTAACCAAGTACCACCGAGTCTTCAACACTGCATTTCCTGCACAAATGGCAGCTTATAATCTTTTGTTTGTTTTGCCACGGTGGGAAATTACAAAAAAGCAGCTAAACTGTCTTTCATATACAAAAAAAAGAAAATCTTTGTCTCCCTCTCCTTGAGGATGGCTTGTGGGTAAACAGGAGGCTGTCATTCCCGCCTCCTGGGTCACCACTCCGGACTGTTCGCTGTGGGGTAGCTCTGAGTCTGAGGTAAGCAGTGACGTGTGCGTGTGACGGACCGTGTGCACGTCCATGTCTCATGCTTGCTGGCTGCCAAGCTCCACGCCCGCAGTCCGCAGTCCAGACACTGGTTCTGCTCCCCCAGCCCCGCCCTCTTTGGACATCTCGTGTCCCGGGCTGCGCTGGTCCTGCCACGCTGGGGAGGGGGAGCGGCTGCTGCCCACAATCTCTCTGTCCTCCTCCGGGCCCTCAGAGCTTCTCTCCGGCTGCTCGTCCCCATAACCGTTCTCGCTGTGGCTCGCTGGCGTCTGACCCGTGCAGTGAGGATGTTCCGGTGAACCTGCTACTGTATCAGCAAGGCCTCCCTTCTCCTCCGCTACCCCCCGGGTGGGCCCGTCGGTGCATGGAGTGTCTCTCCTGGGGGGTGTCTCCTTTTCACCAAGCTCTAATGCCCTCCTCTCGTTAGCCCTGGTGTTTTTAATCCCGGTGCCGACTTCCGCTTCCGGCCCGCTGTCAGAATCCACGGCAATGGGTTCTGATACTTTCTCAGGAGCCCTGGCGGCACTTCTGATTGTCCTGCTTGGCCCGCTGTTCCCCAGCCTCCTCTGGCTCTGGCCGCCTCCTGCAGCCCTCTGCCGACGCCAGCGGCTAAGCACCTCTGCGGAGCGGCCGATGATCACCTTGGATGTCCGACTCTTATTCTTGCCGGCATTCTCTGGAACCACCTTAGGCTCAAGGTCCAGCTCGTGCTGGACACGGCTGAGCTGGCTTACGCTGAAGCCCAGCAGCACGACCTGCCCCCTCCTCTCGCAGTCCTGCAGGCACGTCCGCCGCCGGTTGGCAAAGTGGCTGGCGACATCCGATTTCCACAGCCACAAGCTGGCGGCCAGCTTCTCCACCTCACGGCGAGATGGGTACGGCTGACGGTTGAAGTAAGACGTCAGGAAGGCCTTGCGTGTTTCGTACGATGCATCCTCATGGCCCTTGGGGTCCAGCGCCAAGACGACGGGCTCTTCAGTCTTCCCTGTCGGCCCCGGAGGCGTTCGGTGCCCTGGCTCCTGTGACTTGAGCCTCTTGGTGGGAGGCGAGTCCGCAGGCTCGGGTTCGCGTTTCAGGGGGGCCAGGGGTGTGCCTGAAGGCCGGGGCTCCGGCCCGTTCTGCGTCTTTCCCACGCCACGGCAGTGCACTAAGTGCAATGTGATGGTGGATGCCGTCATGTTGCTAGTGTAGACGCCCAGGCAGTGGATGCACTTGTAGGTGAGCTTCTTCTCCACTGGGTGCACCGTCTGTATGACCTGGTGGCGCTCACGCAGGTGATGCGCCAGTGCATCCGAGATGGGGCCCTTCAGGATGGAAAAGCAGAGGGGGCATAGCGTCTTGCCCACGTCTTTCTTGTAGGGTACGGCGGCCTGGGGCACGCTCTTTGCCAATGCATTGGGTGGCCCCTCTGGGATCTTGGGCGCCACCTTTTTGCCTTGTGCAGCAGAAGAGAAATTATTCTGCGCGTGGAAGGCCACTGACTCCTCAGGTGCGTCCCTCATATTGTAGGTGGTGACGATCAGCTGGACGTTTTTGGGGTTGCCGTGCTGCAGCGTGAGGTCGAAGGTGAGTGGCGAGTCATTGCGGGGTCCCGCAGCCTCATCCGAATGTGCGGTACGCGTGTGCGCCACCAGCTTCTCTACGTCGTGGAAGACGTTGCGGCAGTGCGGGCAGGACAGGCCGTGGATCAGCATGTGGTTAAGCAGCGTGTCACTGGGCAGGTAGCGGTTGCAGTGGAGACACTTGCTGGTGAAGTTGTGGATCTTCATGATGTAGTTGGCCACGGCACGTACCTTCTCTGCCTTGTGCTCCTTCTCGAAGTGCGCGCTGTACACGTTCTCGGGGAACAGCTCATTGCAGATGGTGCAGATCTTCCACTTCTGCGTGTAGGACGTGCCCAGCAAGGAGCTGCCGCCGCTGCCCGCCTTCTTGCCGGGGCTTACTGAGGTCACTGTGGCGGCAGCCGCCTGTACCCGCGAGGCTAGTGGCACGGTCTTCAGTGTGGACGAGAGGGCGGATGACGGGGTCGTTGAGGAAGAGCCTGCCCCCGCCTGGACACCTGTACGGGCCGCCCCCTGGCCTCCCTGCGCACTTGTGTTCTGCCGGATGGTGTGTGACTGCTGCGGGATGGTCACCTGTGTGTTACCTGGAAGGGTGATGCGCACCTGTTGCCCAACCGAGAAGGCCTGTGCCGTGGACCCCTTTATACCAAACTGGCCTGGCTTCAGGGGCACGGCCGACAGCAGCCCAGTCTTAGGCAGCGACAGCCGGCTCAGCTGCTGCGTGGTGAGGGTGCGAACACCAGTGGTCAGCACAGTGCCCTTGGGCGACACCCCCAGGATGCTCTTGTCCTGGGTTTTTGGGGAGATCATCATCAGAGGCTGTGCACGTGGCACAACCACGCTGGTGTGGCCGATCATAGCCGTCACCTGGTAGCCGATACGCTCATGGTCCTCAATGACATGTTGCACCAGGGCCTCGTACGTGCGCGGTATGAACAGGCAGCGTTTGCAGTGGATAGCGTCGGTGTCGCGGGAAGTTGCCGCGGATGAAGCTGACGTCCCGCCGTTGACGGACTTCTCTGAGGCTTTCGAGACGTAGGGTGCTGCCACATGCTGGAAGTGCTCCCGGTAGATGTGTTTGCGCACCACATTGTAGAGTGGGTCGCGGTACGTGCATTTCTTGCAGTAGTACACGGCCTGCTCCACGCTGTCACCAGATCGTGGCTTGGGGCTGCTGCCGTCCAGCCGGCCCGCCTCCTTCGAGCCCGCTGCTGCGGCTCCACCAGCCTGGCGTACTGCATTGCTGGGCACATGGAACAGCCGGATGTGTGTCTCCAGTGTCGCCTTGTTCCCATAGAAGGTGCAGTAGGGGCAATTGAGCAGGATGCGGCTCTCGAAGTCCTCGCTGTGCACATTGCGGAAATGGCTCTTGTAGGCCGAGAAGAACTTCGAAGAGAAGGAACAACCGGAACACCAGAAGGGCTTCGACCTGTACTCCTGTGGACAGAGCAGAGGATTAGCAGGTTTGAGTGAACTCGAGGGAGCCCCGCGGCCCTCAAGTGTCCATCTACAGCAATAACACTTAGATTCGTCATTCGGATCAGAGAGCAATGTGGTAAACATGCAGCTGTGCAGAACTGGACAGATGTCAGATACATGGAACTCATAAGGGGTGAAGCATCACAATAGGAAGTAACAACATGCTTCAGGCCTGCCCTTCACAGGTTTGTTTTGGAAAGTTGGTAAACATAATGCCCCAGATCACACATATGTGAAAGTGTATTCTAGATTCCTGCAGCCCCATGCAAGACTGAATGAACTTTAAAGGTGCCATATTATGCTTTTCCAGTTTCTCCCTTTCCATTAGCCCGTTATATAGCTTTATGTCAATGTAAACGGCCTGCAAAGCCTTAAGGCCCAAAGTACACACCAAAGGGAGAATCTTTCGCTACAGAAGCCACACTTCTCTAATCTGCCTGATACACCTCACTGGAATTCCAGCCCTTACTTCTGTGACATGGTGAGGTCACCTCGTAACACAATCCTTATTGGCTGCCTACCTGCAAGATTGCAAGACTGCAAGACAGGGGTGGAAAGTGTAGGGCAAGCTGACCAAACAGAGCACACAGGGCTCATCAAAGGTACGGCTTAAAGCTCTAACAGAGCGTTTTAGACAGAGTGAACAGAGATGTACAATATGAGAAAAATAATGTGTTTTTAGAACACTGAAGCATGTAAATCTATTCCAGTAGTCCCCAAAAATAAAATTATTAAGAGTGAAAATGAGCATAATAGGGTCCCTTTAAAGCAATGGGGATGGCTGCGACAGAGCATGCATTCCAGTAGGACACTGACATGGTGATGAGAGTCTCGGCACATGCATAGAGAATGCACTGTGTGCGTCAGCCAATCACCTTGGTAGGATCAAAACCCTACCAGCATGTGACATACCTGTGCTTTAGTTAATGATGGATCCCACATGCACAGGTCATCCCAGGTGGTGTTTTTGACGTAGAAGTCATTGGGACCAAACTCCTTGAAGTCCTATTACAAAGGGAGTAAAGGACAGTAGTGAACACGTTTAAGTGGACGTATATGAAAATATATGCTGCTGGAGCAACTGATTGAAAGAGCAAACGTCAAAAGAATTTTTAATCCAAAATTCAAAGGGATGCAACACAAAAGGGACAGTACCTCTACGTGGTCCTTGCAGTATTCCAAGCCGATATCGCTCAGAACCTTCTTCACATTTTTCCTGGCTTTCCGTAAACTATAGAGGTTGTTTACAGGGAGCTGAAACATGCTTCCTATCTGGCAGGAAAAAAGAAAATGATGTCACGTACCTGTCAACCACAACAGAACATGGCGAATTTCATCACTATTAAGACTCCGAACAAAAAGTGCCAACTCAAATGGTGGCTAGGTAAAATCTAGCCCAGAAAAACGGCATACAGGCTATTTGCATTCAAGCTAGTATATTTTCTTGCAGTTCAAAAACATCAAGCTACCTAAGCAGCTCAAATCAATGCTCAGAATTGTATGTTCTGTGACATTCAGAACTATGAATTTTTCCTCCTTACTAAAGAACATTTAGCTTGATGCTTTTGTAGCACTGATTTCAAATCTTTGCCGCCTAATTGAAAGGAATAGGTTATAATTCATATATTAGGTGAATATTACATATAACAATTATTATAATAATTTAGTCAAAATTCTAATGAGGCTAATACAAAACCCACCAAATACATTTAGGAATGAAAACATTTGTACTGCATGTAAAAAATTATGCATGGAAAGTGGGTTGTGGTTGATCTGACAAAACCAACACCCACATGTGTCAAGGACCAAAACTGAAAAATTCTCCATTAGAAAAACTGATTTGCCCATGGAATAACCATTGCAGGCTACTCCACATTCACATTGTGCAGTTCAGATACATTCCCTGGTTTGAAGGACGAACTGCACATCTTCCAGCATTAAGATGCAAGCTTCTATTCTCTCTAAAGTATTTAGTTTTATGAATGACATTTCTTGTGCACTCAGTACTACAGTTCTAAAACAACTTATTCCACCAGACAATAACTTGCATACCACTTAACACATGATGTAAACAATGATTAAAAACAATCCCTCAAACATTACTTGCACAAGTAGTGAGCCTGGATGATGATGGTACTGCCACTGGACCGGCAGCACAGCTCTGTCAGTTTGAACACTGGAGAAGCCGGCTTTCACACTACTGTTAAACTGACATAAAGGCAGCAGCAAGTTAAGATGGGGTCTCCTGCAGGGTCAGTTATCCCAACACCTTTTAATAAAGGTGTATTACCAACACCTTTATTACTTAGCTGCTTGATGGACAATCTAGAAGACGTATTCTTTGGATAATCCGTATTTTACACATCTGAATAGCTAATTGGAACATTTTAAATATTTCTGACAGCATGGCCACCCCCAAGACAAACACCCAAATTTTTATCCACAAAACCCCCAATGTTTTTTAAAAAATAAACTGTGGTTAAAGCAATTGCAGCTTTGTCTGCCCATCTCCATCATGTTCTCCTTAATCCATGTCCTCCCATGCATCTTCACCTGCCTGCTGCCCTCCATCTCTCTGCATCACTCAGCCTTTGTTTCCACCAGAACCTTTACTGCTCTCTCTCCCTCTCTGCCTATCTGTCTTTCTCTCACCACCCACCTACAGCAAGTGGGCTCTACAGTCTGAGAAATTGCCCTTCTTACAGAAGTCTTTAAAACCTTAAAACCCATCTGACATTCAAATGCTTATCCAGATCAGGGTCATGTAGGGGGTTTGGAGCCTATCCCATGCATAACAGGATACAATGTGGGGGTACACCCTGCATGGGATGTCAGTCCATCACAGGGCACCACATGCATGCAGACACAAACACACCCTATTGGCATTCTGGAAATACCACATGGATCACAGGACAAAACAGGAGTTCCCAGAGGAAACCCCTATTGTTGCAAAGAGAACATGCAAACTCCAAATAGGAATCAGAAGTGGGATTTGAACCCCCACCTTATAGGTGTGAGCCAATGGTACTACCCACTGAACCATAAACCCTGGTCTGGATGACAGAAGAAATTGTCTTAACACCAATTCATTATTAATTCCCTATTAATTTTCCACAATAAACTGCATAACTAACCCCCCTTGCTTAAAATATGTGTCCCTTTTAAAAACCACAGTGGCAATATACAACAATACGATTTGTAGTTCCGGCATGTTGAATCCAACTTTGAAACTCAAATGACCACAGCGAATAATGTCCCATGTTCCCCATCGGACATGGCTATGGTTATACCAGCAGTCCCACCGCCTGTGGTGCATGCAGCCACGAGGAGCTCCAGTGCCCTTCCAGCCTCGCTCGTCAGCCCACTTTCCCCCATTGCTGGTAGATGGCGCTAGAGAGCGCCCTCGGCCTTCCGATTATGTAAGACTCCCAGCTCCGCAACTGCGGCCCAGCCCCCATGATCACGGAATGGCGCCTCCTATTGAGTCTGCAGCGGCGCCCAACATGTCTGCATTGCAATTTTTTCCCTTTCTTTTTCCTCTGGCGGTGGGGGCTGGGTATAGTCCGCTTCGCTTAAGGGTCGCTGGTTCAGCACGCCCCACATAGTCCGTAATAACGACTTTTTGTATTTAATTTGCACTAAAACTACGTAATTGGGGGGAGGCTGTCGTTATACACACTTTGGATCGAGCTTTTAAAATTACGCGGTTGTTTTTTTTTCCTTGCAGACGACACTCTTTTCGTGACGGCCGGCTTTCGCTGTCATCTTCTACAAAAACTCAGCAACCCCGTCCACCCACACATCCATATACAAACGGGTACCAAAACTAGGGGGGAGAGGTTAACCACAGAAATTCACCGCCGAAAATTCCAGATTCGCTGGATAAATGAACGACATCCGTGAAGAGAAGGTAGATTAAAAATATATATATATATATCTGGCAAGGAAGCAGCATTTTTAGGATAACGGCTAATAATCATCCCCTCAAGCCAGATGCGCGTGTGTCAGACTGCTTCCCATTCATTGCTTTTTCCCGAGCACTTCAACCGTGTCTGAAGACGCGCTTGTACCTGGCGGAGTTGCGTCGGCACGGCACGCGCCTCTCCCATCACTTCGCCACATCGACCGCGAGCCAATTAGCCAGACACTAACACCTGCGCGAGAGTACGGCCAAAACTCACGGCGGCCGCTAATTAAAGCGCGAACGGGGCGCTTTGCGGGACCTCGGCCGGGCCGGATCGCCTCGAAGGCGATCCGAAAAAGAGATGGCATAAAATCCCCCCCCCCCCGCGCTGGAGTTTCGCGATAACATTAATGGTGGGACTCCACAGAACGGTCTGCACGGCCAAGCCAGTTAGACCGGCGGTAAGGGGCCGAATGGTCCAAACCAGCCGCACACGTACCCGTCACGATCACGCTAGGCGGTTAACAATGACAGCATTAAGATTTAAGTTCATTGATCGTCGGTGGGTAGCTCAAAACGACAATAAAAAAAACACCGTTCGGAATTACGATATACATTATGACTAGTAAAAGAAAATAACTGCTAATTAAATAATCGAATAAGTTAACCGGTATATCTCCGGATACTACAAGGCACGGCATTCATAGCGGCCATGTATAAACTACGATTACTGCGTTAACTAAACAAATACCGCAACATCCCAAACTGAACCAGTGTGTTTATAAGCCGGAGTCGGGGCTTAAAACTACCGGACGAGGCTGCGGTGCGCTGGCAGCAGCTAAGCTAACTAGTTGGTTACCCTGAGGCTCGTGGCTCAGTAGGCGGCATGGCTGGATATTCACCTAGACTACCAGGGGGCTTGATCGCGACAGTCCAACAACTTCTGAAGAATCGTCCTCCAATAAACAAACAAGCGACCGCAAGCTCACAGCTTTCATATGTATCGACAGCATTAGTAAGTACTGCGCTGGCACAGTTAGCCGGCTAACTGTCAACACTTGTTTTATCAGCCCGTTAGCCGGCTAGCTAGTTGGCTTTACCTGCTTGAGTAAAATCAGGCGGCTAGCTACTCCACACTTGAGGCGATCTGTAGCTAGTTAACGTTAAACTGAACCCGCGGCGAAGACAAAGGGGCGACCGTCGTCCTCCCTCCTCTTCCTCACTGGGCAGCCGAGACGAGTCGCTTTACTGGGAGACGTTCAGGTGCCCACACCGGACCGACAGAATGGACTAAACTCCCTTTGCTGTCCGTCCCGGGGCTTACTGCTGTCCTTCTCTCTCCCTTTTCGGCTGCCGGCGATGAAGTGCTGCTGTCACACATCTAGATAGTGCGTAGCTGAATAGCCAAGTTTACTGATGGTACAAGAGAAATGAGCGGTAGTGCAGTGCCCAGTGTTGCGCCAATTTTACCAGGTTTGGTACAAAATTGAATCTGATCCACACTATGATAATTTACAATCACTAATACTTTTCTCCCTCCTCTTCTACAGACAATACCCCCCAGTCAAGAACCTGCCCAGTCCAAAATGGCGTATGAAAAAGAGCGGAAGTGACATATGCGTTTGATTAGCATAAGAAAGTCATTGTGCCCACAGAGAGACCACTTGATTAAGGGAAACGTCGTTTTAGGAGTTTTATACTACATAAACTTGGTATTTACCTGACCCGCGAAGGTACAACGATATCCTTAAATTCAGATTCCGTCGGTTTGTCAAATAAAGGGAGGCAGCAGCAGTTTTAGGGAGAGGGGAAACCGAACTGCACCCTCCGATGTCCAATAGGGGGCGTATTGGTCGTGAGTCCGATGTGGTGAATCAATATGAAAAAACTGTCGCGCATGCGTTTTGGGTCTCTATGCTGGCGCCTTCCCTAGGCGAAGAATCGGATGTGCACACTGCCTCACAACATCCCCGGGTGGCGCTATGCTTATTATTGCGCTGTGCTCAACCGAACTACTTTCCAAGTGTCACGTGCTTTCTTCATATCCCGGGTTTCAGCCGTGGGTCAAGTGCAAGGCCATTGAATTGGACGTGCTTAGAAAATGGTAGGTCCATCCTTTTCTGTAAACCACATCAGATCTGATGGTAGCAGAGACCCCCTACATATGCTTGTGTTTAAAATAATTAGATTCAATGGTGTGTCACTCAGGACACATGGTGAGTAAAACTGTAAAAAATCTGACATTGTGCTCACCAAGCAAAGCACACTGAACTGCATCTTTGTTCAACATTCCATATTTTGTGCTAGGCCTCCCTAAGAGTTTTTTTCTCTAGAGCAAATTTTTTCCCCAATATTGCTAACTATGTCAATCACACTTTTTGCAACACACAAACATCTCTGAAGTATAAAAAAAGGTCACAGCAAGTGACACTAGGCTCCAGGGCTGCTGGGTAAATGGACTGAACCTGTGCTCAGGCACCAAGTTTCACTTTCAACAGTGCAGATGTGTACGTGTCATTGTGGGGTTTCCTCTGGGTGCTCAGATTTCCTCCTACAGTGCTAGATACATGCTGAGGCTAATTAGAGTTACCAAATTGTCCATAGATGTACATGTGTGGGTGTTCCCTGTGATGGATTGGTGCCCCATCCTGGGTGGTTCCCTGCTTTGTGCTCATAGTTTCTGGGATTAGCTCCAGTACCCCCAGGACCCTGAATAGGACAAGAGGTTACAGATGGATGGATGGCTATATATTATTGAAAATATTTAAATGAATAATGAATATCATTGAATACTGAATATGAGTTATTCAAATAGGTAAATGGAGTATATGTTGAACTGGATTTGACTGCTCACTGTCTTTAGTTGTTCAAATGTAAAGCAGACCTAAGAATCAGAAATGGAAAGATCTTTATTGGCCAAATGTATTATACAAGGAATTTGTCTTGGTGGGTGTTTTTCAGTATGACATATAACATGCAAGATAACTTCAAGATAATTTACAAGTATGTACACATGAAAATGTAAAGAAATATTTTACAGCTAGTAGACTGTAAGGTGGTACAGAGGTCCAGTTTGGATTCAAAATAAACACAACATGGACTGGGATCTGCAGAACACATGTAGCAAAATTTTAAAATGAACACATTTTAAGTCTTTTTTTGTCAAAACTCAAGCTCTTTGCCATTCAATTTACTAATGCATACACAAGTTACGTAGAATTAGCATTATAGGAGGCAACATACATGCTACAAAACCATGAGAGACCCAAGAGTAACGTTCACAAGGTGTGTGGTGGGCACGCTGCCAGTGTCAAGCAGATTTGTATTAAAAAAAAAGAAAATGAACGGCTATTATGAGATTTTTAATTTTGCGGAACGGCTAGGGTAAGGGTGTAGGAGAGAGCTTGGTTTTGTGGGCGGGAACACAATAATTCGAATACAAAGGTTTGTATTTTTTGGGATGGACGCAAGAAGCAGAATTATATAATGGGGATGGTGGGGTAAGGCTGTAACTTTGGTTTGAACATTGGGGGGTTTGAGGTCTCCACCCATATGACGTGAGGGTTGTATTAGCCAGTTTTGATTATTGAGAGGGTTACAACCCCGTAATTTACATCTATGTGGGGGTTGGGTACACGTTTCCTATGGCCCTGCTCCTACTCCTATACCTATCAAATAAGTACACGTGTCATTGTTAGACAGCTATGACATTTCTGTCGTACCACCATCTATTGATCCAAACTATGTTACAGCATTCTATCTATCTATCTATCTATCTATCTATCTATCTATCTATCTATCTATCTATCTATCTATCTATCT